TCATAACTTTCAGTGCTCATTATACATACATTAGTTTTGCTATGTTTTGTAAATTTTGATAACCACAAACTAGTAAGTATTCGTTCCTAGTTATCTTGTCAATTCTTTGTCTAACTTGTTATTATATTTTTTCAGTGTTGCACTCTGATGAGGTGATCATAGATTTATCCATGTTTTTGGCTTGTTTACATAGCATGCAGAAATGTCTTTTCTGTTAGCCAAGTTAGAAAAACTTGGGACACAGTTATTCACAAACAGATATAAAAGTGTCTTAACAGTTGGAAAAATATTTGTCAAATATAGTAGCAATTACGACAGAAATTATCGTCTTTTCTTCATTAGGACACCTCTATGTTTATCATCCTTATAACGCGAGTTCTGATTGGTTGCCAATCCTACAAAGCTCATATATCATCCTTGTAACATGAGATCTGATTGGTTGTCAATCCTACAAAGCTCATATATCCTTGTAACATGAGATCTGATTGGTTGTCAATCCTACAAAGCTCATATATCCTTGTAACATGAGATCTGATTGGTTGTCAATCCTACAAAAACTCATATATCATCCTTGTAACATGAGATCTGATTGGTTGCCAATCCTACAAAGCTATATATCATCCTTGTAACATGAGATCTGATTGGTTGCCAATCCAACAAAGCCTGAAAAAACTTGCAATCCTATAAACTACAAATTTTCAGCTGAAATTGCAAAAAAATTGTTTGCAGTAAAAATAAAATGGTTCACAGTACTTCTGTTATTTGGATGTAGTCACAGCAAATCATTTCAAAAGGTCAAGGGTCATATGCCAAACTGTGTTAATAATGAGGTTGGCACCTTTTAACAGTTCTATCCCAAATAACAGTTTTAAGTTATTTCACATAAGTCATGATAAATGTGAATATGCATGCTTGATTAATAATGCATTAACAATATTTGTCATTGAGAAATCATGTATCGATACTTTTTGACACTTGGGTGTATTTCACAGGCTTCAAACACGTACTGGAATTCCAAAATTCACATTTCCAGGTCTTGAAATTTTGCCTTTCATTAAACAAAATGGGGGGAAAATTATGGAAATCAACCACTTTCTTAAATTCAATACAAATTTTATTCCTTTTTCTCAAACATTTGTGTATTTACTAAAATTTACTGAGAATGTGGTTTTCTAATGCATGCTGGGATTGTGATAATTTTAATGAGAAATGTGAGCATTGATTGATTTAGGTGAAATTTCTATTTCACCGACTTGTAATTATGACTAAAATAACCTAGAATCTTATCAATTTGGAACCGGAAATAGTCAGGAATTTTTATTTCATCTGAAGAAGCTACCGAACCGTAACACCTAACAATCCGGCCAATCAAAGAGCAGTATGTTTGTTGACAGTTTTTTTAAACATATCAAACTCTACAAACTTAATATAAGCATACCCCCCCCCCCTCCCACTCCCAGCGACGAACATAATAATTCTACAGAGACAGTATCTTTGACCTCAATAAAAAAATCGATCTGATTGGACGCCATCTAAAACATTCACCCAATCAGAGTTGGTGTAGCATATGGCATAGGAAATAAAACAAAATACCAGGATGACAGACAAACTGCCACAGATGGCGCACTTCAATAGACACTTGCTGACAAGATAATAGTGATGTAATTACAGAATAATTGGACATTGGCTGGGGAAGATTCTTATTAATTAGCATTACACCAAAACACATTCCCTCAATTTTTCAGTGATTAATTACATTTTTTTGATGTACGTGTTTCTTGTTTGATAACTTGAAGAGATGTAATATGACTTATTCCTAAAATCTAGTTTATTAACCATGTAAATTTGTTTGTAAAGTCGTGAAGAATCTGGTTGTCACACTTTTGTAGAAACTATCAATTAGGCCCAAAAAAAATTGTTTTGTTGCCCTCAGCGACCGAACAAAAAATATGAAATGTTTTGTTTTTTTTTGTTTTTTTTATCTACCCAAATATTAAAAACTCACCATTTTAAGCAGTAAAAAAGTGTTTCCTCTAAAAATGAACGATCCCAGACCGTTGTTTTATCCTTGGCCATTTACGATACCCTTAGTTTTCATGAGTTTAAAAAAAAAAAAAAAATCTGACCGCCTGACCCAATTTTTCAATTTTCCGAATTTAAGGGCAACATAAGTTTTTTTGGCCTTAATATAGTGTATGGAGAAAGTGTCTGTCATCTATTAGCATAATGTAAAACCATTTATTTTCACAGAGTTTTACATTCATGAACTTGACTGGAAAACTATTGATTCTATTTTAATTCTACATTCTACTCAGATTTTATAGCGAATTGCACTTCATTTTATGAAAATAGCAAAGTTAAAAAAAAAAAAAAAAGAATAATAAACAGTGTTTTTAGTATTCAGATTTGGAGTGTGCTATATTTATTAGCCACTGACTGGAGGTACCGGTAATATTACAGAAGAATTACACAAATACAACTTGAATTTGTCTCAATGTAATTTGTCATAATCTTGGACTGCACTTCCTGACAAAACCAATCTGTTCACTTGTGTATATCTGCTTGAGCTGTTAGTGTGAGGGACAAACCATAGAAAATTGGGGTGGGACTAGGAAGTTTATGTCTGATTTTTTTTTTTATTTATTTACTCTGGCATTATATTTCTCTCATTTGTTTAGTAGATAGAATACCAATCTGAGGTACTGGTAGCAATATTTTATTTTGGAAAGTTAATTGAAAAAAAAAATCTTCAGTCCAATGAGTTTTAATATGTGAGGATCTCTCAGATTTAAGATGAGGTCAAAGGTACTTATTTCCATATATGGTTAGGTTCAAAGGTTAATACATCTATTACTCAATATCAACACCAAAGTAGGTGCAACATTTTGTTTGATTACTATATAAAATATATTGTATTTTTCAAAAAAATTTAAACTCATTAAAATTATCCTTAATTGTGTAGAATATCGATAATTTTATTATCAATATTTTGATATTTGTAATTCACTTTAAATCTTTTCCCACAAAAGTAGAGTTGCTTCACCTTCCATAATTTGTTTCCATATTTATTTAAATAATTTGATCAAGATATATAAGGAATGTCAATTTGGTCCAGAAACCAAGAAATTTATAGAAAACTACAAAAATTGCTATGACAAAATTATAGTATTTTAATCAGAAATATGTTCAAAGTTAAATTTATTGTGATTCATAATTGCTTTAGTCTTTGCCTGTTATTATATTTTGTTAAACTGCCAATATTTACCATATTTGTTGTTCACCTTGAATTACGTTTCTTAAAATACATCTTAAATAAAGGTGGATTGTTCTTGTATGTTTTTTTTTTCACTGTTTTCATCATTTTAATTATAAACAGACATTTTGTTGTCTTAAAATTCTGGTCTTTTAGCAACTTTGAATGGTTACCACAAGAAATCTGTAGTAAAATAAACCTACATAATTTTGAACCTAACAACTTTAATCAGTTAGTGTGTTTTGCTTTCAATACAGGGAACCAATCAATCTGCATGTAGAAGCAGACTGTCCCTACCATTGTTCTATAACGAGCACTAATTGACAATAATGCGCTAATGGTGAATTACTTTCATATTCACATACTGTAAAGGGGGTAATTATTCACTGGGTTTTAATTTAGCTTATTTCGCTGACTGGAAAAATGCGCTAAATTAAAACACAGTGAATATGTAAAATTTAGCATAGAACACATTATCTAAATGATAAAACCGTGAATTTAAAACCCACTGAATATGCCTGAAATGGTAAATCAGTGAAATTTAAACCCAGTGAAAATTAGTCATTTTACAGTACAACAATTTCTGTCACTTTCACTCCTGATGACAAAAGTTTGCAAACTATAATTCATTCTGATACAAAATTTTAACCAAGATTCAATATAAAATATACCTATTTCATGAAATTGACATTTTTCACTGTAAATAGGAAATTTATAATAAATGCGACAGGACAGTATGGTTAACCATTTTCAAAAGAATGTTGCCAGTAAAACCACTAAAAACAAATAATCACATAAATTAGAAAATTAAAGGGGAGTCCGGGCAACATAACACTTCCAAGGGAAAGAGCTCTACAAATGCAGAGAGAATGTAATTTAGTTTTTTTTTATTATAACTTTCCACTCACTAGATTTTCAACTTTTCATCAGTATTATGTCGTCTTTCTTCTTGATTCTCCAGCGAAGGGGTGAAGTTGGTATGGGTAAAGTATGACATCATAGAAACTGTTGGCAGTGTCGATTTCTGTCATGTGTATATGCTATGACTCAAATGAAAACTTGTGTTAATGTTCTAGCTGCAAAATGTTGGCAAATTAAATATTTATATGGTATGTGATAAAAAGGTGTCAACATTATACATCTTTTTTTAAATTCAAAATGGCTGTTGGTATTCCAATTGACTATTCTGGTGTTGTAATGTCATTGTAGATACATATATGTATATCAATATATCATCCAATCATCAAACACTTTAGTTAGAATGTGGACAGTTGCTGACACTATGCTGTGGCCATATATAATGTTGTGCATGCTGTATGGGTATTGTTGATCTGTCAAACACCATTACAAATTCAAACACGAGCAAAACCTTTTTGTAAATTTATTACTAAATGTATTTAACATTATTTATAAACTAAGGTGTACAGGTTCCTGACACACACTGTAGAAAATTTGCACAGATGACATCAATACAGCATTTCTTCATAGGCATCCAAAATGAGAAATAAAGGAACTGTAAGGTTAATACGAATTGTTCCTGGAGTGTGATTATGACAAAGTTTAATTATGATTTTAAAAAACTTGGCATAGAAACACAACACACTACTTTCTGGACCCAGAATTTGGATAAGATGACGAGCAAGCTACGATTTCTAAATCCCCCAAATTTGGCAATGCAATGCAATGTAGGAGCACAGTCCCTCTGGACTGTGTTAGGGGTGCCAAATCAATCACAATATAACGAGAATTAACTGTTATGAACATTTATTACACAAAATTATTATTTTTAAATTTAATTTACAATATAATGAACACATTATCATTGGGTGTGAAATCTACATCTCGCATTCGATGTACACGAATCCAACATTTTTTTTTTTTAGTTATACGTTGATTATCATGCAAGTTTTATGCTCTCATTTGAATTAACCCTTATATTGATTATAATAAATTTGATGTATCCAGATTAAAGTTGTTATGAAATGTTGGTATCATCTGTGTCATCGGATCAAAGTATGGAACACTCTTCTCTCTCTGCAATCAAATAAAATGAAGACAAGTATGTAACACAATTATTAAAACAAAGCTGTAGTTACAATATTATTTTGTTATAACTTCATTGCTTGACCCTCTCGTTGGCGTCAGATTGGTAACATAATAGCCAGGGTCTTTGCTGGCAAGCAATAAACCTCATAAATAAGTAAGAGAATAAGCCACCAGTGCGGAATTCTGAACACACAAGAAAATAAATTTGAACACAGCTGTTCTCTCACAGCTGACCACTCAACACATGCGCATTTTTCCTCCTTTTCTCTTTTTCATTTCATGCCCTCATTATGCACGTCTATGACAATATTTAACATATAGTTTGGGAATACAGATCAGATACATACACTTTTTAACTCTTGGGCCACAATCAGTGCAATCGGTACCAAAGTCACAGAAATCCGTCTGTGAGTCCCCGGCTACACCGTCGTCACACACATGGTCATTCACGAGGTATTCCCAATCGTAACCGGCGCCCTGGCAAGTATTGTCACAATAAGCTATAGTAAAGAAAGAAAGGATACCTTCTCAGTACTAATAAAAGCAGCGAGGAATAAAATATATGAAGGGTTCACTGTCATATGGTAATTTTTGTCTGAGTAAGTCACCATGTCCGCCATATTTTTTCTCTAATTCACCATCATGATTGCTGAATATGATATCACACGCAATAAGAATTCTGCAAATTATGTGTTCGTTCCCATGGTGTACATATTTCCATATACAGAAATGTGTAACTGTCATTGTGTAAGGTAAATTTTATTTCCTTCGAATAAATCCATATTATATCGCGTTCTAAAAAATTGTCATGCTATTCGTCCGTGGGGGTGCCAGTCACTTTTGCAGATGTGTTCGAGGGGTTGCTACTGACGACACAGAGGCAACTTGCATCCAATTAAAGGAGTCTTGTGTTAGAATATTAAAATGGTTTGCTCTATAAATATAGGTCCCACATGTTTGACCAGGTTTTCGTCTACATTGAGTACAGCTGGGCCAACGTGATTCGTTGAATTCCATTTTTTTAATCATTTTACGCGACTCTACGTGTAATACAATTGTAATATGGTAACTTACCATATCGAATTCCACAGTCTGTGCAATCCATTCCAAAAGGACACATACTCGACACAGAGCCTTCGCCGCCGTCATCACAGACACCATTGCCATCAAGAGAACAAGAATACGCACAGAATCGTGACGGAGCTGTAGAAGAAATTACATAACAATACCACTAATTAATTAATAAATACTAGTATGGGCGTGCCACCGGATTCACAAACATTGGACCAAAATAATGACTATTTGTCATTAATTTTAGTTCGGAGTTGGGATCGATATTCTGAGTACCTCGATTGATTCATTTATAAAACACATGTAATGTGCCCTGAACGAGGGTTTCCATGGATACCACCACTAGTAGTTGCACAGTCAAGAAATGAGCCCACAATGTCAGCGTAGACCACCGTGCCACTGACTAGCTAGCTTTTGTTATCTTTTGGCCTACGAAATAGTATTATAGCATGAGTTACCTGGAGTGGAATAGTGAGGCACGTGCAACACGTTTCCATCATGCCAAACGCCGCCAATGAACACTAAATTTACCAAAATAATAATTGAATACATGTTTAGCGCCATCTAGCGATAACTCACTTTTGTGACGTAATGGGTGCACGAGGGCGCTGTTTATAGTTGTAGAATTTGTTTTGAACTGTGATCATCTGTCGATAAAAATGCTTTTAGAGATTTGTTATATCCTAAATAATAAACAACCACACAAACATATTTACACGTGAATATCTGCATTTTGCAAATAAATGCATATTTGTATTTTGACGAGGTGATACTAAGGGGTAGTTAACAGTTTTGTCACACTCAGGATGTGTAACTACATGCCTCAGTTATACTAGGTTCATCAATATAGAAAATAACATGTCTAAAAATTACTATAATATTGAAAGCGATTAAACTGCTTGCGATCCGCGTGTTTTAATCCACGATGGTAGTTAGACACCGCCGCGGGAGGGCGTGGTAAACTGGTGACGCCGGGGGGAAAAAATGTTTTAATTGCTTACCACCAGTCTGCATTTCGATTGCCCCTCGGGTCTATGGTGTCATGCACCCTTTCAAACCGTTCAGACTACTTGAACAAAACGTCGTTGTTATTCCACGGGGTCTTTGTGCGTGTTTATCTTCCAAAAAGGAACAAGGCCAGTGTATTCCGATATACATGTGAGGACTCGTTCTGCAACGTCTCGCAAGAGCGGATCAGTATGTCCACTGGTCCACTGATGCACAGAAACGAAATAAAGACAACATGCAGGAAGCAAGTCTGCGAAAAGGAGACGCATATCGTGCTCACAAATGAACCAAGCCCCCTCCCCCAGATTCATTATCGGATAACGGATGTGACTTGAAAGGAACTTTGGTTTTGTTCCGAGTCCGCAGGTACTTGTGTTGTGACCGGGACTGGTTGAAGGCGAGATAGTATCACAATTGTACCATGGATGTTTGCATAGCGCTGTTGTAATTTTTATTCGCCCACAAGAAAAAGCTAAGAAAGACAACAGTGACATTCGATGATGGGAACTGTCGTCTAACACAATATAAACTGATATTTAAACACAAATACATGTAATAATAAAACCCCTCCATCTGCGAGTCTTGTTAGTCACCGCCCCATTCATGCCGAGGGGTCGACTTGTTTTATAGATATTTGAGTTGAATTCGACCTCGGTCAGTGAACCATAACAATTAAAATGTATTTGTCCTGAAGGTTTTCTGTTGGTATGCGGGGTAACCTTTTAAAAGGAGTCGTCTGTCCGTGTTAAAACTCCGCACACAGGCACAGTTACTTATTGAGGGGTCGTAACCCACGCAATGTATTTACATGTGAACAATTACAGTTACGTGCACCATGGACGTACGTCCATGCGTGCTTTGACTGCAAACCTATGCGTGTTTGTGTGTTGGTATGATGTAATCTGTGCTAGTCGTTGACTCTCCTTATATATACTGCGTAGTTAAGCCATTCACGTCCGCATTGTAGTCTGACATGCATAACCAGTCTGTACAGTAGTCATAAACAGACGCTTTATCCGACAATATGTAAAGCGTTCCACTCATCGACTGTGACACAAAGCTACGACACTCATTATATCTCACTGTCCATAATAATATTCTTAGACTAGGTGCCAGACGAGTGGATTGCTGCGTAATGTATATAACGCCATATAGATTCTAAGTTTAATAGTTTGGAGCTAACGAAATAATATCATATTCTATATAAAACATAAATAGGTTAGATTAGATTAGAATTTGAACACACAATCTAATGACTTCCCACATATTTAACATTAATCATATCTGCCTAATACTTATTGGTGCAAAATCAAATTATGTCAAAAGGTAAGAGGTAAGTCTTTTTGTCGAAATTTGTCATTTCATTTCAGTCTTTAATATCTTTCTTGTAAAATATGTCTGCAATGGCTTTCCATATTTTGGCCCCAATAATTAATACCTTCTGTACTGAATTTACTATCTAGAGATACCATAGTCGAAACCATGAGCGGATTAACAATTTCATTGCTGTTTACAATCTTATTTAAAGTATACACACCTAGTTCCTTTTTCATCTCTTCAAATCTGTATTTCTGAAAGACATACAAATTGAAAATAATCAATTAATTTACTGTGCGGGGAAAAACAGCAGGCACGTACTGAGGCAATGATATAAAAGACCAAAGTCTACGAAACCACTAGGCGGGGAGGAGGGGGATTCGCCAGATCACTTGCTACCACCATCGTTTTGAAATCCAGGGATACAAATGTCGTTGAGGTCACGTGATATCTTCTGTTTGGGTATCAATTTATGCAACATTGTGTATATTGTACATATTACAATTTGCCATATGTGTTACTGGATTTTAGAAATGTTGGACTGATCACGTGGTTATGAATGTCATGTTTAAGGTAGAAATGCAGTTTATTTGGCTTGCTTTTTAATTGAGTAATTAGACAATGAAGATGGTATTATATATCCAACATGTTATATATTTTCTGAAAGCTTATTATACAAACTTTGTAAAACTTGTCTTTATTTTAAATACCCAGAATGCGTTTTTGATTTTGGGTCAAAAATATGCTTTTTTGGACAAAAGTGGTTTAAAAAAAATTTCTTTTCAAAACCAAGTTATTTTACATCCTATCTCTTTTGAAAAATATATTCAATTTTGTATTCGGGTACTGGAGTCATTACAATACTGTGAAACATTTTATTTTCACTTGGAATTAATTTTCGCTATTTCGTTCAACTCATGAAATTTCAGCAAAGATAAATGACAAATATTCAAAATATTTACATATATGATATATGTTTATCAGCAGGTTACGTGATTTTCTGAGACAGGAAGAACCTCTGTTTTAACACTGTTAAAATTACTACCTGTTGAGTTATTGTTAAACATGGGAGTTGAAAGTGCTTTTAATTAAAACGGCAAATCGACGTTTTTATGCGAAATTATATTTTATCCAATCATAGTTTCAGTAATGAAGTAAGATGTTCATATACAAATGTGATGCTCTATCAGGCTTTCTTCTTCTTCTTCTTCTTCTTCTAGTCGAATTCTGACCCGTAAAACACGTCATCGTAAGCGGCGAAAATGGCGACGGTCAAAACACAAAAATTGACAATTTTTCGGTTCTCCCATTTAATTAGTCAAATAATTAATTCTAGAAACACAGTCACTTGTCTGACTGAATTGAAATGTACACGTACTGCTCCCATGCCGCACACACCTTAAACAATGTATTGGGAAATTGGCGGTGGTGTCTAGTTGGTGAAAGAAAAAGAAAACAATGCTAAGTGGCGTATTCAGTCTTGTCTCAGCAGCAAACAAGCTTTACGGTTTGGTTAAATTATGGAAAAGAAAACTCATTATAATGGGATATTAAGTATTTGTTTGTTCAGAAGACGTATGGGTAGATATGCAGCGAATATGCTATGTCAACTCGACCATACTTGACATCCGTTTGTGACCCGTAAAAACGGTGTATGACAACACCCAGTTCGCTAGTACCATATTCTATGGCAAATGTAATGGTACCAATTTTCGGTTGGCATATTTTACAGGAATAATTGATGCTTTTACCTTGAGTAGAAAATCAAGAAGAGTTGACTTTGTTGTAACTAGCTGACACAACGCCAGGAGAGCGAGAACGACTACCAGCAACCGTGCCATTTTGTTCACTTGAGTGGTATTGAATGACTTAAGAATCACTACAATAGAGCTAATAGTATCAACAATGAATATACGAACAATTCATGTTGAAACGCAAACGAGCGGTTATTTCTCATCAATTGAGATTTAAATAGGTGGAAATGACGCCACCAACGTTAGAAAACGTTCGGATATTTATATTTGGTCATTTCTTCATGTTATTTGTCTAAACATATACAATTAGACACTGATATATTTATCAAGTACGATAGTAAATTGCTCTAATGACATGCAAACTTTATTTGTGTGTCTGTAAATTATCCTACCAGATTGTACCGTTATTGGCCATAGAACAATACACATTCAAAATAAAAACGCGATTTCTTTATTACTTGTTTTTATTCGTATTTCACAAATAAGAAAAAATAAAAATCACAAAAAAAGAAGGTGAAGGTCATGCCTTTTTTGACAATGAAGCTGATTACAATGGGTTGATTCATACGCATCGATTAGCATACGAGACGAATTTTGAATTATTTTGGATCAAACTACGAGGGCATGGTACCAGAAACGGTTGACTTTGAATCTTTTGGTCGCAAATTGGAAAATTTGTTTTTGACTAAACATTTTAAATTAATAAATTTATGATCCACACCAGAGCGAACTGTAGTCTATTTGCTGAATGTCTTTTGTTTCTTGACGTATGAAGATCTATAACTATATGAAAGATGGCGGATGTGCCAACTTTAGACCACCATTTGAATAGTTGTAACAAAGTAACACCCCTTTAATCTTATCTGACATTTTATTCCAAATACATTTATGAAAAATTGTTCATTATTGTTTTTGTCATTTGTCTTGACATAGGAGGAGAAACTGACAATGTATGTACCATCTTTGATAAGAGATAGATTTTACTGTTACTTTAACATATTAAGTGATATAATCTTTGAGAAGACAAGCAAGAATACTACAAACGATTTGTGCCAATTGCCGCTGATGAACAACACTTATTATCGCAATTTCCGCACAGAAATTACAAAAGATATTGATTCCTGAGATGCCATAATTTGAATGGAACGTAATTTAAAGAAGACGATAGAGGGCGTCATATCGGCCCTGGTGCGTTTACACGGTTAGGGTCATGTCAGACCCTGTCATATCAGAGCTCAATCCCAAGATTTGTCGTAGCCAGACGCGTTTAAACATCGAATTTTGCTGGTTCGAGCCGGTTCAAGACACTGGGCTTCGACAAAATGTTGCCGTGTGAACGCGGTGTAGCAAATATTCTAATCTACTTCGTGTCACCCACGAACGATCCCCACTCAAAGTGATTTTACGCTCCTTGTCATGAAGTTTGTTTGTCAAAGGCAAATTTTCACAAATCCATTCAATTTCGGCCTGTGATTTTGTATTTTGTGTATACAAAAGCCCAATTTTGCCACAATCCAAACTTCTAAATACATTTCATTCGCCCACTAAACGCGTAGCTTCATTGCCGACCATAAATTCATGTTTAATGTTTTGATAAAAAAAGTAGATCCGTAAATAGAACATAGTGTAAACGGTTTTCATTTACTGCAAGATCAAGTAGAATGCACCGTCTGTCAGCTGGACAATTTTTGCCTATGTATCATATATTGAAAACTGTTTTGAAAACTTTGAAGGAATAACGAATCTTTTAATAATGGATGTACCTCAGCAAAAAAACACGATGCACCCTGTTGCACCACTAAGAAGTATCGCCAATTTTGAAACGATTGATGCGTTTTTATCCTTTTCCAACGTATTTAAAGCATTGGCTAGCTAATTATACAGAGGACACATAGCATGAACAACTCTCTGCTTAATTAATAACGGAGTTAATGTAAAATTATTCATTATTCACTAGGTTTTAATTTTGCTTATTTCGCTGACTGGGAAAAGCGGCTAAATAAAAATCTAGTGACTATTTCAAATTTAGCATAGAACACATTATCTAAATGAGAAAAAACCGTGAATTTAAAACCCGCACTAAATATGTCTGAAATGCTAAATCATGAATTAAAGAAATTTAAACCCAGTGAAAATTAGTCATTTTACAGTAGTTACTTGAGCAGGCTTAAAGAATAGCGCATTATCACACGAGCCAAGAATACAAGTTACAATTTCGTCCATTGAACAAGGAGCATGCAGTGTTCGTGCAATATGATTGGCAGTCTGGCATCTGAGAATACATCCCAATACACAGCTTCATATGTTTGTCCATCTAAATTACGCACGTCATGTAACAAAAATACAACAAGTTCAAGTTCAAGGTTTATATAGTTTGCCATCAATGAACAATATACCGCTAATAAATCTTAGTATTTTGTCCTCATTAAAAATGGTCAAATACGTCATCACCTTGAGAGACTAAACAGTGGAGTCAAAAATGAAATAGGGCGACTACATGGCGTCGTATTGAATTGACTGAATCGCAACGACTTCGTTTGTCACAGTTTGCCCAAAATTGACTAAAATCAATGTGTACGATTATTTGATTCGTGGAAATGTAATCAAAATAACAGCCATTACGTGTAAAGGCGAATAAAAAGTAGTATCCCTATAAAACAGTAATGCTTTGTTTTGAAGAAATACGAAAACACAAACACTTTGATGCTGGAATGTGCTGGTGCGACTTTCAGTTTGTAATCTATGAGAAGTAGCTGAATAAATAAGAAAATGAAAATGTAATTTATTGTGAATTACTACCTATCAGTTGTATTTGGGTATAAACATTTAGTGTGGAATGATACAGGTCTGTGCCACGAGGGACGTTTCTCCATATCGCGTCCCGTGCGCACCGATAAACCGGTGACCCTACCGCGTGCGCTCGCTTGGAAATGGTGGAAGTGTTATTATTTTTATTATAAACAAACTCGTAAATACGGCCAAAATTAACATAATCGGTCGGTATTTATTTACCTTAAGTGCTTTGTGGAATGGCAAAACACGCCAGACGTGTAAAATCGATATTGACCATTATTATGATTACCGTAGTTTGGATAGTAACATGCAGCTGGGAACTGAACTCAAAAGATTGATGGTTGGGGCGTTTTTCTTTAACAAATTTAAGTTTTTCGCCAAAAATGATAAAGATTTCGCTAGAATGGCTAAAATTCTTAAAAACGATGGTAACAAAAATGACCCGACCTTGAAAATGAGGGGCCAATACAGCAGCTGTCATGAATTTGTTTTCGCGTATCTGTTGACCGACTTAATTAGTTGATTACGAGCGAATTGCTGTGTTATGTCTGTCATCGTTTAGGTCTATTTGAAGTTTTGGACGGAACTTGGCTCAGTGATTTGAAACTAATTACGAGATATCCGTCGCGATTCTGACAGTTTATATTCATAGTTATTAATGTAGTGAACGATTAATCAAAAGATATGACGTATTCAGTACTTAGTGTGATTGGCTTTATGATTGAAGGTTACGCCCTAGAGTCTTTTACTGTTTTGTAATTGGTTAGAGTTTTGAAAATGAATAAAGAGAGTTTGAGTTGGTCTTGGCGAATACTCCACGACAGACGCAGTCCGAGAGAGTCTTGGGGCGAGCCTTGACGCAATCCAGTCTTGGGCTAGTCTTGGGTCAGCCTTGTGAGAGTCTTGGGGACTTTTCCCCAGGGCGCTGTGTCTTACAGAGTGCTCGACAGACCGACTAAGACGAGAGCTGAAACGTATTTCGTTGTGTGTGTCTTATTTGACTGTAAAGTTAAAGTGACTTTCCCGATCCCGTACCTCAAGGGGACGATATAGAGACGAGACGAGTTCCCCCCCTGACAAGTGTGGAGAACCCCAGAGAGAGAGAAGATTTCCCCCTGACACGTGGTGTGAGAACCCTGGGCATTGTGTTTTACACACATTGACATTCTGTGAAGAGAAGTGAAATGGCGAAGATGTGTCTTTCTTGTGAACCGAACTAACTGGCTCGATGGCAGAGACGAAACCGCGCTCGATGACTAACACCGTTAACAGTACGACACCGATGTACAACGCTGAAGAGATGAAGATTTCAGAACCCCTTCGGAAGGACCAGTACCGGATAGAACTGTATAATTAAGAATTGAGCGACATTAAAGACAAGAAGATGAAAGAACGACCCGGACTAACGCGATGACAAGAGAAGAGACGCTTATAGACTTTAACTTTAGCTATCTTTGTATTGCTTAGAGAACCGCTCGTTGGACACTGAAACTGACACTGTGTAACTCAAGGACGTTGAACTCTTTTCCAGAATCCTAACCCTATTGCTCAGTAATGTAATGTATTGCTTGCTTTTCCTATCGTTTTTACCGTTTCTTTTAGTGATGTCGAATTGTATGTTATGTAAGCGCCCAGATCTTTGTTTTGAAATGATATTTAGTGACGTGCGAGGTCCTTTACAACGATTTAAGCGCGCCTCAGTGGACAAGTATTTGCAACACAGTGTTCTGAGTTTTGTGAAGTGTTATGGAGTTTTAATGAGTTTATGAGTACGGATTATGATGGGGAAAGTAATGCCCTAATGAGTTTTTCAGAGTTTTGAGATTTGTCGAGTACAGAGATATCGACGTTTTAAGAGTTGCTGTTGGTTATGTGTTGTTTCCGGAATACATCTGACGCTTTTTGAGTTGATAGCACCTTTGTAACGTTTTTTAATGTCTTTTTGAGATGAGAGTTTGGTGCGCTTATATAT